TCTGTTAGTCTGTTGGATTTTCAACCCCCTGTGGGACTGTGATAAGTTTAAAGACTCACAGTACCGGGGTTTGATTCTTTAGGGTGGATGCGGCAGATGACCTGCAGCTTTGTTCTTACAAAACAACTTACTTTACCTCACAAGATGCTGTTCCAATCAATGACAATCACGATTGTCTTTAAATGATCTATGAAAAAAATGAAAAGGAGGCCACTTTGGGATAAGCTGCCTTTGATTTGTTTTTCTTCTGTTGGTTCTTCAAGTGTGTGATATTTTATGCTTTTTCCCGGTTGCTTTTGAGCCTGCAACTTAATTGATGTATGAAAGGTCTGGGAGCGATTTTTTTTTTTCTCTATACACATCTCTCCCACCTCTAATATCTAGTATAGTACAACAATCAGGGGAGGGGGGGGGGGGCACTCTCAGTTGAGAGTGTTCAATTGGCCTGTGTGCCAGAAATAATATTCTGGAAATTCATACCATAATAGCCTTGCCAATCAGAAAAGAAAAAAAATTGTTTTTAATTATATTTATTATTGTTACGAAATCAACTAAATAACACGATAATGTTCAAAGTATCACCAAACAATCGTAATACTGAGAAACCCATTAATGCCACTTTATCGAGAAAAAAATAATAAAATTATCTAAATGAGGTGCTTATATACAGTACCAGCATAGAAAGTGCATTGACATAGATGGAGAGTATCATGAGATATATATTACCAATGGCAATTGAGTAAAGTATAAAAGACTGGAGCAAGTGAGAACGAATTAGACCAATGCTTAGATGGGCAAAGATGAAACCCTGGCAGTTGAGGAATAACTATAATTAGGAGTGGAAGTATGTAATTTTTGGAATGCACATTTTCAAAGTAAAGAAGTGTCATGTGATACATAAAAGTGAAGACCGAGAATTTATTTAACAATTTCATTATATTTTTAAAATAAGAAATTAAAACTTATATAATATTAACATTTGAATTATAAATTACCTTTTGTTTATTGGCATACATTTTACTATGAAGATGGTCCATTATGTGTATGTGTGTGTTAATATTCATCAACAAGAATTGACTGGTTTGATTACCATAACCTTTTTGGTACAGTAACTGGAAGCTGTCAGATGGTATATATAGGATTTTGGGATTTTTGTAAAGGGGTGTAAAAAATAGACCCTTAAATAGAGAACATTTCCACTATATTCCAAAGTTATAGCTTACCTCACACAGAGTTGGCTGGCTCAATTAACATATATTTTTGTTTGGTAACTCTTAATTATCTGATAATGTACATGGGCTATTTTTTAAAGATTTTTGCCCATGAAGGAATTAAAAAAACATGAAATAAGGCATAATTCAACTTCTTTAGAATCTTTTGGCTTTTAATCTAGACACAAGTTCTTAATTCATTAAATGAGTCAATTATTATCTTCTACAAAGCCAAAGAGAGAGAAGGAGAGGGAACATTATCTAACATTGTCTTTTATACAATTTTTGCTTCCTAAATGGGTGACCTCAGCTAGTTTATAATGAAGTAGTTTAATTAAATTTGTAATGTAACTGTAAAAAGTTTGTAACTTTGATTTACTTGTGTCTTAGAGGGTTAATCTGTCAATGAGAATCCTACTAAAATAGTACTTCAACCTGTTTATTACTTTCAGAAAAATATTTCATTTAATACTTACACAACACTAACCTAAGTAATTCTGAATTATTCAAAACATTCATACCAGAATATTTCATGGTAAATATTTAAATGAATAGAAATAAGCTTCAGACAGTAAAATGTAAAACATGACTATGAGACTCCAAACTTAGCTGAACATACTTGTCAAAATCTACTACTCTTAGCTTTCTAAAGTATGTAAACTTTTCAACTAAGATAATAGCAAGGAGATTGAATCCATTTGGGTTTTTATTAGTGGATGTAAAGGGAAAAGGCAGAGATGCAACAAGAATTGTCTGTTGTGAATTGGACAGCTGAGTTATTTGGAGACATTGATTAGATGTGGAAAATTAGTAAAGATAATTTTTAAACATTCAAGGTAAACATATTTCTTATAGAAAGAAAAGGGTAGCTGCAAGTAAAAAAAAACAAAGAGTATAAGAGATAAAATTAAAGAAAAGTATCACAAACTTAAGAAACTTAAATTGAATGGTAAGACTTAGAAGATCAAAAAAGTTGGTCAAACAGGAAATTATGAACAGAATGACTGCATTAATTCTGAGTTTGTTAAGGAAAAATTAGGAAGTTTAAAGAACGATAAGGTTCCTCATCCAGATAATATTTCTCCAAGGGTTTTGAAGGAGGTTAAGGATTGGATATGTGAACCACTTTCTACTATCATTTATAAGTCCTTCAATAGCGGGCAGGTGCTAATGGATTTGAAGTTAGCTAATGTCACTCGTCTTTTCAAGGGAGGTAATAAAAATTGACCCAGTAATTATAGGCCTATTAGTCTTACCTCAGTTGTGGGAAAAGCTTTGGAAAGTTTGATAAAAAATGCTTTACAGAGTCATTTAACAAAGTTAAGAATTTTATTGGATAGTCAACATAGTTTCATTATGAAAAAATCTTACTAATCTTTCGATATTCTTTGAAAAGGTTATTGCTTATGTAGATGAGGATAAGGGTGTAGATTTGGTGTATCTGGATTTTCAGAAGCATATGACAAGGTGCCACATAAAAGACTTGTAAAAAAAATTATCTCTATAAGTGTGAGGTATAAGTCAGCTAATTGGATAGAAGAGTGGCTGGATGGAAAAAAAGCAGAGGGTTGTTACAAATGGAGTTGGGTAAATAAATGGCATATGGGTTTTAATTATGATAAATGCAAGATAATACATGTGAGTTGTCATAATTTGAATTATAAGTATTATTTGGATAGGAATAACCTTAACAGTGTTATGAAGGAAAGGGATCTTGGTGCAATACTTGATCAGTCTCTAAAGCCATTCAAATAGTGTGCTGTTGCTTGTGGTAGGGCAAATAGGATTTTAGGTTGTATCTACAGAAATATTGAATACAAGTCTGAAGAGGTTATACTTTCATTGTACAGGCTGCTGGTTAGGACACATTTGGAATATTGTGTTCAGTCTTGGGATCCTTACCTTAGGAAAGACATTAAATTGTTGGAAAGGGTTCAGAGAAGGGCTGCTTAGAATGGTGCCTAGGATAGAGGGATTGTCATATAAGCAGAGATTAAGATCTCTGAAATTGTTTTTTCTTGACAAAAAGAAGAGTTAGGTGGGATCTGATTGAGGTGTTTAAGATTGTAAAGGGAACTGATAGTGTTGATGTATCATCTTTTTTTTATATTTAACAATGATAATAGTAGGACTATGGGACACAAATATAAAATTTGGCAAGGTAGGAGTTACCTTCAGTTAAGACAGTTTTATTTTTCTAATAGGGTGTTTGGCCTCTGGAATGGGTTGCCTTTGGATATTATAGAGGCAGTAAATTTAAATGAGTTTGAGAAAAAGCTTGATAACTTTAAGAATGATATGGGCTGGATTTAAGATTTTTTATTTATTTAATAGTTTAGTTTAAAGGATTGGATAGCTGAGATAGATCAATAGGTCCCTTGTTGTCCTTGAACATTAAATCATGTTATGTTTTATACTTTTAAACGTACTACTCTTAACTTTCTATATTCTGTAAACTTAATAACTAAATTAGAATACCAAGATATGCTATTAAACGTACTACACTTAGTTTTTAGAATTTGTAAACTACATGACTTAACAACATAATCATACTGTACACAAAAAGAAAGCAAACTTTAAACACATTTACAATGTAGTTAATAATAAAAGCTCTTTTTTAATATTTAATAATTTTAATAAGTCCAGAAGTCAGTTCTCATTTGAAACTTTTGTGGACAATTTGATGTCATTTTTGGATAATTTGTACTTTAAAAGTATTACTATAAATTACATACTATTGTTTTTATAACAAATAAAGTAGATAAAGACCGAGAAATTAAGTAATAGACTTACTAGAATTTCTGACACATTGAAAAGCCAGTTTTTAGCAAATCTTCTTACCACCCACCAATATCAGTCTCATTAAGAAGATATGCATGAAGACAAGGATTAGCTGTGGCAGCAATAATCTCAAAACTAAGACTTCAAATTTTAAGAATTTTAATAAATGTATAGATGAATGCTATTAAGTGAAATGACAACTTTTTAACAGAAATGTAAAAATGGCTTTTCAAATTTTCAAGATTTTTATGCATACAAACAGGAACATTTGCACATTTTATAGGTATATAAAAAATTATTCTATGCATAAAAGTAACTAACCCTGAGCCTCTTAATCTGTATACAAATGTGTTTTTCAGATAACTATTTGAAATTATATGTAGTTAATTGTAAGTAAAATTTCAATAACTTGTCAAAATTTAAATATTTCCTGTACAAAACAGCAGTGAGAAGTAAACAGTATACACTTTTACTAGTAACACATTCTTTATGCACAATTAAACAAGACAGATTTTTAATAATAACACATCCTTTGTGTGTAACTAAAGATACATTTTGACTAGTAACATATTTTTGTGTGTATGTAAACAAGATACATTTTGACTAGTAACACATCCTTTGTGTGTAACTAAAGATACATTTTGACTAGTAACACATTTTTGTGTGTATGTAAACAAGATACATTTTGACTAGTAACACATTTTTGTGTGCAACTAAAAAGATACACTTTGACTAGTAACACATCCTTTGTGTGTATGTAAACAAGATACGTATTAACCAGTAACACACCTTTTGTATGCAAATAAACAAGATACATTATGACTAGTAACACATCCTTTGTGTGCAACCAAACAAAATACATTTTGACTACTAACACATTTAAGTAAAATATTAGATCCCTAAAAAGAAACAGTAATGATGAATATCAGTATTTTCTAATCTACCTGAAGCTTTTCTAGTATCTTATAAATAACAAACAGCTTATTATGGAAATCTGTCATAACTAACCTGTTGTCTCTACTAACATAGCAAATACTGTTTCTTGCAGAGAAAAGCAGAGATCTTCTTTGGTGTACTGGCCACTGCCAAGCAGAGATTCTGCTCTGTCCTAGAACAAATAAAAATTCAGTTAAGAGCTATACTGGGAGTTGTATTTGTCTAACATAAAAAAAGCTTGTAGAAATAGCTACTATTAAAGTCTATTAAAAGAATACCATCCCACTGTTTTTTTACTTTTCAAATTATAACTGCAGTGATGAAATCTATTTTAGAAAATATCATAAAAAGATATGGAATAATTATTATTTCTTTATTACTGTCCTACAACCTGAGCACACCAGAAAGATAAAATAACATGGTTAATATTTGGTATACATATGCTATTTGGTTATTTTGCTAATTTGGCCAGATATCGGTTCCTATTCAGTCACTGAATATTTGAATTTTTTATATAATCTACCAGGAACAGAATAACCCAAGCAATCATCTTAACTTTTAAAAAACTATTTTAACTAGATAATCAGTCATTTGTAATGCTATAGTATTTTTAAAGGAACTTAGTATTCAAGCTTAACATTCTTTAATTCACATATATCAATCATATGTCAGAAATACTATATTTTTATGAATCTATATTTATATCATTATAGCACATTAGGCTAATAATTTACTGAAAACAAACTACAATGTTTACTTTATCATTATTTTTCACTCATATAATGACAAATAGAAATTACTTTCAATGGTCACAGTAATATCTTTGCCATGACATGTTTGAATGGTATTATGAAAGCCACAGATGCCTAAAGATATTTCACCGTAGAACAAGTGAACACTTTACACCGCCATACACTTTAACAAGTGGTGGTACTAATGGTGTAGAGTTACTTATTCCAATATCTTTATTTAACCACATTTGACTGTAAAATTGATAGTGTAAATTTTTTCTCCATCAAACTTTTTCATTGCTCGGTTCAGATGTCCTCTGTGAAATGTTAATTTTAAAATAAGAATCCAAAGATGTAGCTAATGTAACGTTTAGAATTATTTGTCTTCCAGAAAATCTAGTTTCAAGCTTTTCTCTCAAGAATGCTTTCATTGTTCCCAGTCCAATGTGACTTGTGGTTCCCTTCAACAGACGATATAAGAGTATCCAAACTTGGAATAACATTTGAAAGTTAGCATTTTCTTAAATCAAAAATGTATTTCCAATAACACTTACCTCTTCTCACACTATAGCTATTACTGAACTGTTAAAGTTTCTTTCCTTTGCCCATCAAAGCAATGATCTGATTTTTTCTCACTTGCTCTAGTCTTTTATTCCCCACTTAATTGCCCTTGGCAATATCTGTCTCATGACACTCTCTACCTACGTCAATGCACCCTCTATCCTGGTACTGTAAATAAGCACCTCATTCAGATAATATTTTCACTTTTTCAAGACTGACCCAATTCACAATCTCTAACACCGGTTCTTAGTGGGGAGAAAGAGCAGGAGAGTGTGACAGGTGGTAAGTATAACATACTTACCTCTTTGAAAAACATACTTACCTCTTCTCACATTAAAGCTAGAATCCCACACTGATAAGGCAGAGGGGCTGGTGAGGACATTATCCATACAGAATGCATCTGCATAGATCATGGGTGTACCAAAAGAAATAGAAGATTAGCACCCTAGTAGGGGAACTACACTACATCCAGAACAGGTATGCTCTTCACATGGAACATAAATCATGCACTGTGATTGGAATTTGACGTGATCTTCATCACCATTAAACATGGACACTAAATCCGACATTAGGGGCTAGGGCATTTGGACTGCAATATATATATTTTAGAATGGATCCCAGTCTGCAGCTATAGAGTGATGCATTCTGAGCTACTGGAATCATGATGAGAAGGTGAGCTACATCCAAATGGACAAACCCTCTCCTCAACCTGAAGAAGTCGACAAAGCAACACTCTAAACTTGGAATGATGGGATCCAGTATGTCATACTCAACCTGAAGAAACAGAACTCACATGGTTTGGAATTATGAACACTGTGTGGGCAAGGTAAATTCCACTTGCCCCTGGAATTATGGGGAGGATGTGGAACAAACTGTGCTCAACCAAGGACCAAGGATGGGGCCACTCTGCATTCAGAATTACGAGGACACAATGGACCCTCTTTCATGAACAATGTACTGAACCAATAATGATTGAAAAGAAGGGCCACAATCAACCCAATTGGATAGATGAGCATCAAATCAATCTGATGATCCAGTATTACAAGTAGGCTCCCACATAGGCTGGTGTTGCTCTTACCGACATCTGGGAAAAAAACAGGTTGTAACATAATTAGCCCCCAGCTTCGCCCTCTACCACAAGAGTGGAGGAAAGTGACTTGAACACTCTGTAGGAATAACCTCTGCCCACCACTCCAGTGATTGGAAACCAGGAGTGGTGAGGAGAGGAGGGGTATGCACATTGGGGAACAGTGCAATAGGTGCACCAAGTTCCCTGAATTTCTAAAAGCAAAGTATAGTACAGTAATATCATCCGGTTTGCCTCTAGGTGATCTTATGGAAAATCTATTTCTACAGAGCCTGTTGTAACCTAAATAAAGTGTATTCTGTTAGTAGTTGCTAGTGCAAATTTGGTTTGATGATGAAACACCTGCCTGGGCAACACTCATCACAGAGTGGGATCCTGGGAAAAGAGGTAAGGGGCCCAGGAAAAGAAAGAAGAGATGAGATGAGATTAGTAATTTATAATCTACCAGATATGGTTAAGATAGCTACAGTGGGTAATCAAAAATCCTCAGAGGAAGATACTTCCTGATCATGCAATAATGTGAGATAAAAGTATTAGGTGAGGTCCATATAGAAGCCTGCACAATGTCCTCTAGTGGGCAATTCAACTGTTAAAAGCATAGAAATGTAATGAATCTAATGAGATGTGACTCGAAGAAGCTTCCTCGCTTCCAAAGAAAGCTCAGAATAAGCAATATGGATCAATTTTCATACCCACCCCATCAAGGTAACCGGAAATAAATCCTGGGAAACTGAAGGGCCACAATGAACAAAAAGCCATTGTCTAATACCTCTAAATGCTTTAGTGCAAGCAACATAGCACATCAAGGCCCTCACTGGACATAACAAATGATCAGGATCTGATTGGTTATAAAGGTGAGAAATAGCAGTGATATGAATTGGTGAAAAGGATTTATCCCCTTCCCTGGCTGTCAGTGTCTTAGGTAAGAAGGATCTGTTTGTTGTAGAGAAGGATGTAGGTAGAATGATAAAGCATCCTGTAAATGTTCAGCACAAATGACTCCGACCAGCAATATCTGCAGGCCAGCAGCAACAAAAAATATAAGTTATGGGAAAGGTAATACATGGTACATGAGGCCAAGGGCTAAAACCAATATCGAGAAAGAGCATTTAACACCACCTTTATATCCCACTTAGGTACCTGAAATGACTTGAGGAAGCCGGAGGGAACTGGGTACTCAAAAAATTTCCATCTCTTCAAGTATATAAAGGTAGCCAATAAGGCTGCCTTATATATGGCAATTGTGGAAGATGCAAAACTCCTGTCAAAGAGCCAGGTCCAAAACTGAGCTACGTCAAGTTGGTACATCTGGATGAAGTGGGTTCAACCTCCATGCAATACATCATTGTCGATATGTATGCCATTTCCACTGATAAATGTCCATCGTGGGACAATGCAGAAACTGAGACAGGTACAGGCAACTTAGAAGTTAAACCCAGATACCGTGCAAAAGACCACATAACCTCCACGCATGAAGCTTGTGCTTCGGGATGGATGGGTGTAAGATGTTGGATCATGGCTGCCTCAAAGAGGAAGTGGAAGAAGTAGGCACTCCATAAAAGTAAAAACCAGGATTGAGCCAGCCAATCCAATCCAGTGTAACCAACAGAACACAATGAGGGGTTGAACGAATCACTGCTAGGACTATGGGTAACAGATGAATCAATATAGGTGTAATTCAGTCCAGTCCTGACTTAATGTATCCATTGCCAACACACACAAGTGGGAGGTACCAGAGACCAAAATGCTGGTAATTGAGCATCCCAATGAGTGGCAAATGCATTGACCATCAGTGTCCCAAACCAAGAGCAAATCCAATGGAAAACCCCTCAATGAAGCATCCATTCTGTTGGGAGAATCTGGATGGGACGAAACAATACATCCACCACCAAATTCATCACCCTTAGAACATGGCAAGCTAGCAGGATGATATGATGGAAGTGGGCCCGATATAGAAGATCCAAGGTTCAAAAACCTGAACCCAGGCCCCCCTTGAAAGGAAATGTAAGACATAACCATGAATCATGATGACTTTGCCCCTCAATAATACCAAGCTTTGAGACATCACCCTTTTGAAAGAAGCCATAAAACACTAGGGTAGCCTAGTTGTTGAGATATGCACTCCATTCCTGAAGTGAGGCATCTGTGAATAAATGGATCTCTGGATGAGGTGGCAGCAGAGGAACACTGATAGTGATATTGTTACGACCCAACTACCATTTGAGATCAAAGATGTTGATCCTGAATAAGAAGACTTGGGAGTCCAGTGGATTACTGTTCATGATCCATTGGTCATTTAGAGACCATTGAAGGGATCTCATGTGTACTCATCCCAAAGGAATGAGAGATTCGAGTGATGCTCACATCCCCAAAAGAGAAAGAACCATTTGCGCAGTGGGAGAATGAGATATGAGTAAGAGTCAGACTGTCTGTTCCATAGCATGGAGCCGGATGGGAGTCAGCTGGGCCCGACTGAGATATGTATTGAAAAAGACACCCAGATGAACAACATATCATGTTGATATGAGAATAGATTTCTTGACTCTAATAAGAAATCCTGTCTCGGTTGCTTCAGAAAGCAGTATCTTGGTGTGGCATTCTGCCATCTGATGAGATGGTTCCAGCAGTAGCCAATCGTCCATGTAATGGTGTGAGCACAGGTCCATGGTGATGTGAAGAGGTTGTATGATTCAGCAGAACACGTATGGTGTCAATGCTAGTTTGAATTGCAGAGCCCTGAACTGCAGCACCTGACCCTTCTGCACAAAACACAAATAGTGGTGGGATGACTTG